CATGGCTTAGAAGATGCCTCCTAATTTTACATGATGGAAGTGGCAGCTGTGTGGTTTGAGAGAAACTAGTATGAGTGTATGATCTTACACTGTCCTGGTCTCCTGCTGTGTTTCCACAGGTGTCACCACTGTCCTCACCATGACCACACTAAGCATCAGCGCAAGAAACTCGTTACCTAAAGTGGCGTACGCGACGGCCATGGACTGGTTCATAGCCGTCTGTTATGCCTTTGTGTTTTCTGCGCTGATCGAATTTGCCACTGTCAACTACTTCACCAAGCGCAGCTGGGCTTGGGATGGCAAGAAGGTGCTGGAAGCCCAAGAGATGAAGGTCAGCCTGTGGCCAAGGCTGGGGAGGGGGTGGTGAAGAAACGCTGCAGGAGAGAGCTGTGCTGGGGACAGGAGTGGGTAACATGCAGTCCCACAGCACTCCGGAGGCTGGATGCTACTTACTGTGCTTCCCAGCTCAGCCCTTGACTGGAGTGGTTCTTGAGGGTTGGGGGAGGAAGGGTGTGGGGGCTGATCACTGTTCTTAGCTGGAGAGAAACTCCCCAGCATGGCTGCTCGCTTGCCCCTCTGTCCTCTGCACGGCCATTTGCCAGTGGAAACATGAATGTGTGCATGTTTTGGGCTTGCTCTGCCAGTGGTTTTTCCTTTCTTTTCCCTCCAACCCATAAACCAACCCAAAACCCAACCCAGCCCTCCCAACCCAACCCTCCAAGCCCATTCCATGTTGTTAGCATGCCACTCAAAACCAAATATGCCACAGACCACCAGCCTGACCAGTAGGTACAGTCACACTCTGCTGTGTCCCCTGACTGTAGGTCTCCCCTGGCAGGGACATGCCTGGTGCAGCAGTGGGCAGGTCTGACGCTTGTGCTGTTGCCCACAGCTGCCAGCAGCTGCTGCTTTGTGAGCTTGGGCAAAGAGGGTGGGTGGGAAGCAAGCAATCACAAACAGCAACTGGCAGCAAATTAGTGCCTGGCATCACCCACGTTTTCCCTCCTTGCTTGGGATCAGCCTCTCTGGCAGCTTCCTTCCTGACAGCCACTGCTCCCCCTGCTCGTGCCCCCCTCCCTCTGAACTGATTTAATCTTGGCTGCACAGAGAAATCGCTTACTGTAGCATGCTGCTCCTTGTTTATATTTATTGAATCAATTTGAAAATCAGCTTTGTCCTTGTTCTTGGTTCTGGAGCCTTTATATTTTTCTCCTTTGCATTTTAATGTGTTGTTTAAAATCGTGTGGAGCTGTATGCAAATACCTGACAGAATTGCAGTAACTTTTGGGAAGACAACAGCCAGCCATATCTCTGGTGTGGAGGTCAACGAAGGTGAACAGAGGCCTTATAGAGAGCCATCACTGGGTGTTGAATGCATCTCTCTTGTCTTTCTTGGACTCTATCTATCTGTTTGCTTTTGCAGCTGTGGTCTGAGCAACAGACTCATGGCAGAAAGCCTCCAGAGGAGGTCAGGTGATGATCTTCTACTTCCATCATGAACAATGATGCTAACCTGGCCTCTAGAGAGGAGAGGAGCCTTTCCAGAGTCATTGGCACGAGTGAAGAGTCAGAACAGGTCCTCAGAGCAATTGTGTCCTTTTCAGGGAAGGTCAAATCAGCACAAAGTCAGGATTCACACAGCCTTGGGCAATTATGTGAACTGAGCACAGCAGAAAAAACAGTAAAGGCTCAAAAGCTTCATTTTGTCTTAGAAGCAGCGTGTTCCTCAATTTATTCATTGACCCAGCACTGCAAGACTAACAGTGCTGAAACAATAGGGTAAGAGCATGCAAAATGTTTGTGCACATGGTAATCAAACAAGAAAACAAAGCAGGACCTGGAATGTTTCCAAGGGGATGCTCTTTGTGAGTTGCTGCCATTGGTGTCAGCCTGGAGAATCAGGAAGGACTCCAAATTTGCAGGTACTTTTTCAAGCTAACTCTGATCTTTACTGTAGAAGGCAAACCCACTCCCAGTCTGTGCAGCACAGAGAGCTCCCTGAAGAGTGATGGGCTTTTAGGGAGCTTAGGAATATGATGTGTCAACATATTTGCTTTTCATCTTTATTCCAATGAGTATTTCCAAGCAGTGAATTTGCTACGCAATGGAGGTGCCTCATTGGCTCAGTTTCAGCTTTTAATTAGGTCTTGAAACAATTGACAAGGCAGATCCTCAAAACCACAAAAGAAAGAGGAGGCAGAAGAATAACTATTGGCATTTTAAAGTTGTTGTATCAGGAATAAAACTACCAGTGACAAAACCAGGCTGAGCCCTGGTCTCTGGAGAGCCCTCTCTCCAGCCAAAAGGAATGGTCTTTATTGATGCCATGGCAGGGATCCTTACTCTGGGTTTGATTGTTTCCTTGCATGAACATGAAAAAGAAAATCAATGTAGGTAGCAGCAAAGCTTCCCATCCCATTTGAAAGAAATCACGACCATGCAAAAGCTGCTGGTTGCTGACACGCACTGTCAGCAGAGTGTTCGTTCACTCAGGGGTGCGTCCATTCTTTCTTTCTCCCTTTCAGCCAAACTGTTGGCATAGATGGGAACACCGTGGGTTTTACAAGTAGGATCTAACATGGTGAGCTGATGTTGGTGAATCACTGGTCTCTGCATCATAAAATCATGATGATGTTCTGGCTTTAGCCACAGTTGGGTTCTGGTTCTAGCTGGGACCTACTCTGCACATTCTCTGAAGTTCTTGTCTAATGAAAGGCCAGCAGGTATCACCAAAATAGCTGTCACCAAAAACTCCCTTTAGCATGCAGTCCAATAAAATTTGATTAATGTTTCTTGGATCCAAGTATTTTCCAAGCCTTTCCTGCCTGCCACCAGTAATTGCTCGTTGTAGATGAAGGATTTATTTTCTTATTGAATGGTAAAGTGGCTGCAACCAATCTAGAGGTGCAGATCAAATTGGAGAGATGTATCTGGATCCAATGTGGAAAACTTGTTAGTATCATCTTTACTACTTTTTAAAAAACATCATCAGAAGAAAAGTGAGACATAGCAGTAGTGGGGGATTGAGTGAGAGGCCAAAGAGATTGAAAGATGAGTAGTTTCAGTAGCCAGCAAAGCTCCCTATCTCCAGCATCCTCAAAATATCTTGTTAAAAGGATCCACTTCAGGATAGAATGGCTGTGTCTGAAGAGAGTGAGTTCTATCCATGCATCCCAACCATAGGGATGGTCATCTCTGGAGCCAGCAAGGTCAGTTCTTAAGTGGCTGTGACAGCGAGGATCTGAAGAGACAACAAATAATGGTGACTTTGATGCTGGGAAACTGCAGGGATGACATTTTCCAGGGAGTTTACCACAAAAAAAAAAGGTGTTGTCTGTTCCCCAGGATGGAACATGCTTTGGATCTTTGGAAGGCTCTTACCGAAAGTCACTTCTGCCTGCAACACAATGTCAGTGCATTGCCCTGAAATTCTGGGTGGCAATAAGCAACAAAACCAATGCAAATAGCTGCAGTCAGATTCACGAAAAAAAGGAAGAGTGCACTTTGCATGGAGGGATAGTCTTAAGACAATAATTCTTTAGTGCATGGTGAGGTTAAGTCCAGGCTTTTTATATGTATTTTCACTAAGAGAAAGTGACGAAAAAGCATCCTCCAAACCTCTCTGTTGGTATGACCATCATGGTTTTCTTTCTTGTATTTCGGAAGTGATGGGCATGGTCAACATGAGGTGTCTTTTCTTCTGACTGAATAAAGCCTAGCTCTCTGTCCAACCCACTCGTCAGCAGCTCTCATGTTTTCCCCTTGATCCAGGTCCCTTTCCGTTTGTGGTATCTTTGTTACAATCCTTGCCTTGCCATCAGAGAGGAACTAGAACCACCATTTTCAACCAGTTTGGACTCTTTCAGACTCAGGGGATGGTTCAGACTTTTCTCTTTTTTTTTCATTTTTTTTTTCTGCTTCACTATGGTAAATGTGTTTTAGCTGGGACTTTCCCTTCTGATCATGCTTTACAGCCCATGTGTCCTTTATTCTGTTGCACTTGCAATCACCTGTAGCTCTTCATAGCACTGCAAATGATTTATGTTCTCAGCACCTTCACTAGAGTCCATGAATCATTTTTCAACAGCATTTCACCCTTTCTCTCAATACTGGATGGTCTGTTGGGCTGATTATTGACTCCATCCAAACTCTGAGTCTTTTTCTGGTGATTCAGGGAGCATAAGATCATTGGGCTCAGTCCCATAAAATCTGTGTGAAGATATGGGAGGGGTGGGTGATACCAAAAGTTGCACCAGCAGCTGACAGTGATGTGGCATTAGCCTGCTGATTAATGCAAGGCTTTATTGTTTTGAGCCTTTGACTCTGCTCAGGGTACAGGTGTCTCAGTGTAAAACACTCGGCTGATATTCTCTGATAGGATCAAGTCTCTGGCACACTGCAGGGGTGAACTTTGGCTGGCATGAAGAAGGAGGGACATGTTTGCTGCAACAGCAGCTGCAGTTGCTGGGCTTTGAATTATGGGCTACAAGTATGTTGGAGACTAGAGCTGCTTGGAGGTCACTAAAGTGAGTTTTCTCTAGCATGACAAGTGGCAGGTACTTGAATTTCTCAAGTTCTGCAGATATTGATGAACTTGAGAGTTTTCTGTCAGAGAGATAGTGCTTCCAACCCATATTTCTTGCCAAGGAACAGGCACAGAGAACTAAATCTCAGCAGATCATAGGCAGAAACAGTAGTTCCCATAATTTAGAGGTTCACTTGTTAGTTCCTCAGCAGAGAGGTTTGTAGACAAGAATATTTGGCAAAAATGCCATTATTTTCCAGTATGTGTGTTCTTGAAGAACTTGTCAGTCTGCAATATCCAGGGAACAGATTTATCTCTTGAACAGCTTTCACAGCTTTTCCCTCAGGAGAGCAGCACAGGGACATCTTTGTGCAGTGGTTCAGTCTCCCTGTGCCTAAACTGGGCCATAAATACAGAAATTGTTTTGCAAAACAGATGTTTTAAATAGGACAAGTTTTCAAAGC